GGGTAATACAGTGTAAAACTTTGTTACGTTGAGCCATGTGTCTCTTTGCTTTAGAGTCTGGACATAGTTCAGAAAACACTTAAAGGGAAATTAACATTTCAGTTGAAGTTACAAATGTAATTTCTATCCTGTCATATTTTGGTGACCTTTTGTGACAGCTTGTCTCAATTGGAGGAAAGCATTTTTACTTGCTGATTAAAGATGTCATTTGAAACCATTTTATTACTGAGGATAGTGAAATTAATCTTGACACTCAGAACCACTAGAAAAATAATTGCTGATTCACTGCATAAAATGTGTGTGTGAACCAATCATGTAGTCAAGATTAGAATAAAAGTCTGTGCTGGTTAAAAAGATTAAATTTTCTTTCAAATGGGATCTGGAGTCATTTGACAGGGAGGGGAATACCACAGTAACAATTTCAAGAAGATGAAATGTGGCTTAGAGATTTTGGAAGAGTTTGGAGGTGATGGTATCCAAGGTAGGAGGTAGATTCTGATAATACTTAAAATTCACCCTTCACTGGGGAAGAAGGCATGGGAAGCCTTCTCAGTAGTATTCAGTGACATCTTCAGAAAATGTATATTCATTAATGTGAGATATATTTTTACAATTTAGATATTATTGTAAAGTAGAGGGACCATACGTGGATAAAATGTTTTTTCCCCTCCTAGGAGCTTAGAATAATGTACCACATGAAGTTTCTTAGGGCCAGAGCCCATGCGTTCTGTATCCCTGAAGCACAGGGCAGAGCAGTGAGCAGCTGGTGGCTGCTCCACAAATGTTCTTGCAGGAGTTTTTTCTTATGTGACTTTGCTCTCATCCGATAATGGCTTTTGCATCAGATTGCATACATATATGAAGTCTTTCTTCACAGAGTAAGTTTTTTAAAAAAATAAATATGAATCTTTGAAATGAAATATTAGTAAATGAGTTTTTATTCTTTGTGAAATTACCTTTAATTATTTGACTTCAGAGCAAGTTCATTAATAGTTTTGTTTTTACATGACAGCAGTCAAGAATTTGTTTTTTAAATCTCTGTGCCATTGTGTGCTGATAACGCTGGCTTTAGTAAGAAAACCGTGCTGGTGTAGGACTGATGGAGACATCTCTTGACCCATGTCATCTACTTTCAGTGAAAGAGGAAATGCTAGCACAATGCCTAGCAGTTTAAGGGCACTGTTTACATTTAACCTCATCCCCTCCTTTTTGGCACACGTAAGTGGTCTCAAATGAAAACAATTTAAAATTTATTGGCGATACTTGCATTTTATTACAAAGGAAGGCTGTCTTCATTTAACAGATCTCACTAATGGGCAGTGAGTGTCGCTGGTTGTATCATCCTTGCTAGTTTAGTATTTACTGTAGGTGAAGCACGTACTGTTCCAGAGTTTCATTGTCACATATTTCTTCCCCGTTTTCTCCCCGTAAGTCGAGTTTGCGCTACTGGAAGGTATCTAACACATATGCATCTTTTCAAATAGAGCTTTCAGCAGAGGCCAAGGCGGCATTACTTGAATTTGAAGAAAGAGAACGACAGCATAAACAGGGACGCTATGGCTCCAGGCGGGGCGGCCGGCGCGGAGGCCCGCTGATGTGTCGTGGCGTGGGGGACCAGAGGAGAGAGAGCAGCGAGAGGAGCAGGATGAAGGACCACAGACCTGCGCTGCTGCCCACACAGCCTCCCATCGTGGTAACTTGGGATTTCATTGTGGTAGTTAGAACTTAAAACAAATGAAATTCTGCTTTTGTGGGTATCCCGTTGTACGTTTATCTCTTCTGAGTCTGAAATTAAAGTTTAGCAGTAGGAGTTATGACTAAAATTTCTGCTTCATAGTCTATATGCGATGTTTACATAGTCTTAGAAATTCAGTCCTCCACTCGTCTGGTAGGAAGACGTAACCCTGCACCGTGACTGTGTCCAGAGGGAAGGTGGAGGTGTGACCTGCTGCCCTCCAGTGACGAGAGCCACGGTGGAGCCTCGCTGGTGCCTTGGGCCTCTGCAGAGGGGCTTCTCCGGGATGCACTGCATAGAAAATACTGAATTTGTTACAGGATTGAGGCAGTAGTTTATTTTATAAAAATATTTTCCCTTTATACTTTTTATCATAGTTTTTTTCTTAAATAGCAATTTCTCATAATAGCCATATCCTATCCATGAAAATTTTTCATAATTTAGGAAAAAAGCATGTATTTATAATTTCATCCTAATTAGAATTTCCTCAGTATTTCAAAGTGGGACATCTCAGAAGCAAAGGCAGAGCAATTGTGATTTTTTTTGTTGTTGTTGTTCTTTCAGTTAAGCTTTGAGATTTTATGGCTTTTTCCTTCAGAAGTCAACCTTTAAAGAAAAATGTATTTAGTACAAACGTGTCCACTATGTCTGTCCCTCTTACATTTTTGTCTAAATTGAGGGGGAAACCATACTTCACCTCTACGTAGAAATGTTATATTTTAGGAGGCGTTCGTTTGTGAAATAACAAAGTAGAAAAGATGATTTTTGTTTTGGCGTCAGAATTTCTGTTTTGATGTAAAGGAAGGGAAGAAGAGTAGATGGGCTGATTATATGAGAGCATACAGAATTTGATGGCATTAGTAACTGTTGTTTGCTCACATAACTGTTTGTTCTTAAACTTGTCTAACAGCAAAAAGGCTGGCCCTTTCGTTGCTTTCTTTTTCTTTTTTTTTTCTTTTTTTTTCCCCTTCCCTGTCCTCTGCCCTGCCCCGAGGCTATACTGAATTAGCAAACAGCCAATTCAGCTGTTTTGGCCTCCTTGGGGAAAACAACCACACACGAGACCATTGTTTGTGTGGCTGGGTCTCTGTGGTCCTGGGAAGGTCACTGAACTCTGTCTTTATCCACAAAGAGAGGGAGGACATGTCGCCCACCTCCTTAAGGAAGCTTGACCTGAGAGAATGTGTGATCATTTTGCAAACATCACAGAAGTGTCAGCTGGCCCGAATCTGACATGATTTATCTCTGGACTGTATCGTGGCTGCTCTGAACTGGTAGAACTAACTGAACGAGGAGTGAACCAGAGAGCTGCCCTGACCAAGTCCAACACAGCTTTGCACTGAGAGCCACGGTCAGATCTTTGCTAGTCAGTGGTCAAAGGTCAGGGCCGTCTGAAATGAACTGACTTTGTCCCCAGCTCTGTTCTCTCCCGGATCACACCACCATCGATCGGGTGCACTGCCCACCCCAGAGCTGTTCTGGCTCCTAGCTCGTCACCCTCACAGTTCTGGAAAGAATGCTCTTGGCTCATGTCTCTGCTTCTACCCATTTTCTCCTGGGTTGGTTCCGTGCTGCCTGGATCCGTTCTTTCCATGGTCCCGAGTTGTACTCTCAGAGGTACTCTGCTCTTCTAGCAGTTTTTAAATACTTTTTCTTTAATTGCATTGTTTCTCCAGGTTTTGTTCTTAGTCCTGCTTTTGGACGTTGCTCTCACCTGGCAGCGATATCCTTGCTGCTGTCTGCCGTCTTTGTGTGAGTCTTGGTTTCCAGCCTCGCCTCTTGCCAGCTGAGTCTCTACGTTTTCCCGCCTGTCCTTGTGTCTCTCCACATGGATGTGTCACAGGCCTTGAACGTCACTTGTTCATACAAACACGTGCCATTTTTGAAAAAACTCCATTGTGTTCTTAAATTAATGCACTGTGGACATTCTCAGTTCAATAAAAATTGAACTTGGGTGTCCCTGTATCAATGAACGTGCTGTCCATGGCGAGTAAGATAGACAGGATCCCTGCTCCGATGTGCAGTCACAAACGTGGTGAGTCAGAGCAGGGAACGTGCTGGATTCTGGGGGCCTGGGTGCCAGCGGATTTGAGCTGCTACTGGAATCTTTGGAAAAGTCCTCCCTGAGGACGAGCAGGAGGGCCAAGGCCGTACTCAGTCTAGTCTGCAAATTCTACTCAGTGTTCCTCTGCGGTGTCTTCTTGCTCTCTATCAGGCTGTGGCCGTTTCCGTCACCCGGCTCTGGCCGTAGCCTGTTAGATGGTCTGTCTGCTCCCATCTCCATTCCCCAGTCCACCTCACGCAGTGCCCTGTGTGATCATCCTCCTGCCAAAGAGACCCTCAGGGATCCCTCATTCTACGCATTGTGTATGGCGTCATAACAGATCATCTACTTGGAACTCAGAAGCCCTCCATAGTTTGGCATCATCCCAGGGAAAACGGCTTGTTAAATTAGATGGCTGACTTAGCGGCCAGTCTGATGAGTGGTTAAAGCAAAACCTGTGGCATCAGAGTGCCTGAATTCCAGTTCCAGCCCTTCTGTTTTCCTGCTACTTGATCTTGGAAAAGGAGATTGATAAATATGATCCACTTTATAGGATCGTTGGGAGCTAAGTCAGCTACTTTCTGTACTGACCTTTCAGTAGGCACTCAAAACGGGGGGGGGCGGGGAGGCTCATACCTAGCAGCTGTTGCTGTTGCTGGTTTCCATCCTTCTCTCTGGTGTCTGTGGTTGACAGAATAGCCCCAGGTCCCTGACTGCTCTGAGTGTCACTTTCACCCTCGCCTTCTTTCCTCCTCTTTTTATTGATACTTGGCCGAAGCCACTCTGGTGTCCTAGTTTACCAAGCAGGTGGGTCTCTGCTGCCCTGCTTCTTTCAGGATATCTGTCCCTCACTGTGTGGCATATCTTTCCTTTTTCTTTATTGCTGAGTTCAGATGCCACCTTCTCAAAGAAGCTTCCTCCCTTCCCCTGATGGAGTCCACCTCCTTCTAGGTCTGTCCTGTGCTCATGCCTGGGCTCTAGCAGGGTTCCTGATGTGTGTCCATCTTTCTTCCAGGAGTTCCTGGAGGGGGGGGATCTTGGCTGCCGGCTGGGAGGGCCCAGGACAGCTTCTGCTCCGGCATGGTGCTTCATTCGGCATGGCAGTTTTGTTTGCCGAACTGAAATTTTTTATTTTCAAAATTCATGCTGAGTGTTTTGGGACCGTCTTTTTTTTTCACTCCTTTCCTTGAGATTGACTCAGTTGTGAGATAGTAGCCCCTGTTGTGAATAGGTGGAACAGCTTATTTATCCTGCTGTTTTTGTACAAGTTGTTTCAATGAGCTTACTTCTAAAATTGTAACGTTGAAAATTGAGTCAATGTAAAGTTATAGCATGTCAGCATTCTTTTACTTTCCTTTTAAATGTTGATTTCTGTGAATTTTCTTTCTTGTGTGATTTTTAGACTCACTCTCCAAGATTAATTCCTCCTCCTCAGCCACAGCCTCCCCCGCCACCGCCGCCACCCCCTCCTCAGCAGCAGCCGATCAGAAGTCTGTTCCAGCAGCAGCAGCTCCAGCCGCTGCTGCCCTTGCAGCATCCGCACCACCCCTCCCCGCCACAGGGCATGCACATGCCTCCCCAGATGGAGACCCCGAGAATAATGATGACCCCTCCTCCCGTGACCCCGCAGCAGCCCAAGAACATACACATCAACCCACACTTCAAAGGGACGGTGGTGACTCCCGTTCAAGGTACGCGTTTTCTTTTACTGTTGGAAAGTACGGAGGGTTCCTGACTTACAGTGGATTGACCTATGAACTTTCCACTTAGGATTTTTTGACTTTATGAAGGTGTGAAGACGATACGAATTCAGTAGAAACAGTATTTTGAATGTTAAAATTTGGTCTTTTCCTAGGCTAGCAATATTTGGTACTATACTCTCTACCGACGCTGGGCAGCAGCATTGAACCGCAGCCACCAATCGTCTCCACAGTCATGAGGGTGAACAGCCTGTACTACAGCGGACTGTGTCACCAGACGATTTTGCCGTCTGTGGGCTAATGAAAGTCTCCAAGCACCTGTAAGGCAGGCTAGGCCAACATATGATGTTCCATAGGTTAGGTGTATTAAATGCATTTTTTAATTAGGATATTTTCAATTTACACTGGGTTTATTGGGAGGTAACCCAAGTCAGGGAGCGTCTGTAATGTTATAGGTTACTGTGCATCAAAGGCATCACTGTGGCAGAATAGGTTTCACAATCAAGTTTGCAAGGATGAATTGTTTCCCTTGCTTCCTTCCCCATTCACTTAGACAGATTTTAGCTCGATGGGTCAAGTTCATTTCTTTAAAAATGTCTCTCTTATTTTATAATTGAGTAGAAAGAAGTGAGAGAACATTCTAAATGTAAAGCATATGTTAGAGGAAGCCGTTGAAATGTCTGAGTTGTTATACTTCGTGAATCTCATGGTGGGAATGCTTGCAGTAGAGAGTGTCCCTCTTAGGTTGCACTATGTGTCCCCCTTTATTTCCAGTATCAGCTGGTGGGGAGGGATACATCTATCTTTTAATTATTAATTGTTAATATCAATTAATAATAATATTATTAATCAAATAACTGCTGATCTTATTGTTACAGAAATATGTTCCTGAAGCTAGGAAACTATTTTTGAGCAATTTATATGAAGCATATATTCATGCATCTTTTAGTGCACATTTCTTGAGCTACTACTCTCTCTATCATTTGAGTATCTTGGTGAACAGGACAGACAAAGCTTTCTGCAGTCATGATCTTGCTTGAAGCAGACAGAGACAGTCAATAAGCAATAACTATAATAAATAAGGATTTTATATGGCATGTTAGAAGATGAAAATGCAGTAGGAGAAATTGAGTGGGATGGGGAAAGGGCGGGTTGCATCTTAGATAGGGCGATCAGGCGGCTTCCCTCATGGGGAGAGTTGAAGGATGTCAGGAAGTTAGCAGCGTGACTTGCAGGCAGTGGCATCAGCAGGTACACAGGTGAGACCGTGCCTGTGTGTTTGCACAACTGGAAGGAGACCAGCGTGACTTAATGGGGTGGTAAAAGCAGAGAAGAAACGCAGAACTCAGGGTGTGTAGGGCCTCTGACCCATCCTAAGGACTTTGGTTTTTATTCTGGTGAAGTGGGCAGTGATTAGAGGGCTTTGAGCAGAGGAATGAGCGAATGGGTTTACGTTTTAAAAGGATCATCTGCTGCTGTGTTGAAAGCAGGCTGTAGCGTGGCCAGGGGGAGGCCAGTGTCTAGCTAGCAGGTGACTACAGAAGTGCAGGTGGCAAAGATTGTGGTGCCGGTCAGTGTGGCAGCAGGGCGGGTGACGAGTGGTCAGGTGCTGGGTGTGGCTGGCAGATGGAGCTGACGGGATTTGCTTGGCGGATCAGATGAGTGTGAGAGCAAGAGAGGGGGCAAGATGATGCCAAGGCACCTGAGCATCTGGAGGGATGGAGCTGCCATCACCTGAGGTGAGGGAAACTGAAAGTTCTGTTTTGGGTGTGTGAGATTTGAGATCCCCACCAGACATACAGGTGGAGGTGTCTAGTAGGCAGTCAGCTAACTGTCCAGGTGTAGTGTCTAGGCTCCAGGGACGAAGTGGGGGGTTGCTGGCATGTGGATGGCCTAGAGCCTGCACCTGGGTGAGAGCCCTAGCGGAGGGTGCCTGTGTGGGGGGAGACCGGGGACTGGCACCTGGGGACTCGACGCGGAACTGGGGCTGTGCGTGGGCCCAGAGAGGAGGAGCAGGAGGGGGACGTGTGGAGGGCGCGGGCGGGGCTGCTGAGGCGGCTCGTGGGCTGCACTTGGCGGTGGGCTTGGTGGCGGGAGGAGGTGTGAACCTGCTTGAAATGGGGTGCAGAATTGGAGATCATTTATCGACAGGCTTTGACGGTGTTTTGCTCAAGCAGAAGTTGGGTGATAATTGCTGGGAGGAAGTCGGCTTGAGGGAAAGTTTTTATTTTAAGATGAGAGAAGTCACGTTGCACACTTACAGGAAAGAGCTGCTTGAGAAGGAAAAAGAAAGTCGCTGATGCAGATGAGACTTGTCCTGGCCGGGACCATGTGCACAGAGGCGGGATTGCTGAGACGGGAGCAGGGTGTCCTCTGCAGCTGGGGCAGACGGCTGAGACCCGGGCCTGGGGGCGGTTGGGTGGGGGAGCATGGTGTCACTTCTTTCCTGATGCTTCAGGTTTTCTCAGGGAGTAGCAAGCAGTTGGAGTGGGGAGGTGGGAGGCCATGTTGAAGGTCTGAACAGAGAAGCTGCGGAGTCATCCTTGAGAGGGGTCGAAGAGCAGCCATGCCCCACCATAGCAGGGTTGAGCACTGGAGGGTTGTGGTCCTGGGTTTGAAGCAAGACCAGCCTGCATGGTTGTGCCTCTCTGCAGCTGTGTTCACCGACACATAGTAGGCGTGGAATGGATGGTGGAATTGTGAGGAAGCAGTGGGGGGCCGTGCTTATGACGATGGACTGTGGGGTAAGGCAGGTGCAGGTGGAGAGAGGACCCGGGGCTGGGACAGTAAGGGAGATCCCTGGAGAGTTGAAGGACTGTTTGAATTCGGGTCCTGGAGGGAGTGAGGTGGGAAGGCAGAAGGCAGTGCAGAGAATTGGGCTGCGTGGAGGTGGCGGAGAGAAAGATGGCAGTCGTTGGTAAGATGGCCATGAGGAATGGAGGCCGTGTTGGCACGGACCTCCGAGGCAGGCACTGCAAGGGTCACTTCTGCATTTATTCAGAGGGGCCGAGTGTTGAAGACTGGCTATGAACCAGAAGCTGAACTCCCTGAGACACGAGCAGAGCCGTGGGGTGCTGGGGGATGTTTCCTGGCACCGTGGGATTTCAGGCTGGGGTCTGGAGTCAGCAATGAGATCCAGAAGGAGCCCACCCACCTCCAGCCCCTTGGCAGGAAGGCTGTGGGAGAAGGACAGCTGCACGTTGGAGGGCCTCAGGGGAGAGCAAGAAGGGGGTGGCACTGAGGGACGTCATGGATTCTACTGATGGATCAGGGATTCGTTATTCCAAGGGATGTATGGTAGAGAGATTTTGGACGTTGAGAAAAGCCTAAGACAGGACTTTGAGTGTGGGAGATGGCCAGTGGCCTGGGACTGGGCCCGGCTCCCTCCCACGCTAACGTACAGGGTCAGGAGCATTATGAAGTTGTCCTGTAGCCTTGGAGTGGGGGCTGTGATGGGGACAGGCTGGCCATGAGTGGAAGGTTAGGAACTCCCCTTGACTGGGTCTGTGGGTCACCACTGGGAGACCGCTCTTCCAGGCCACTCGGCACGGCGGAGAAACATGAGGTTGTAAAGCATGACGGCTCCTCTTTCGGGTCTTCCTAAGGCCTTCTGACTGACTGACTCTGCGGCGTGTCCCTGTGTGCAGTCACAGCTCTTCCCGCCCTGGCCCTCACCCTCTTCTGTGGCCCTGAGCGTGGGGATCAGCGCGGCGTCTCCCTCAGTAGCTGTGGCATGAGCGAACGAGTGAACGCCTGCCTGCTTGAATGGGAAGGGTGGCTCTCTTTAAATTCACCCTTTGCATATTGTCTCCAGTTGTTGCCGTGAACTCGGAACTGCAGTCCATCTAATTTGCCAGAATAATTTTACTTCTGGTGGCATCTGTTATTATTTCCTTATAAAATTCATTGGAAAACTGGCAGTTGGTAAGATGAACAGATTTTCTTTGGCTTCACAAAAGTGAGATAGTATTAGAACTACAGAGTGGTAAAGCTATAAGGAAACCCTAACATATCCTTTAGGCATGAAAACGTAAACTCTAAAGCCAGCTAGATTTTTCCACCGTGAAGCCGGGAGATTCAGTGCCACGTGTTCCTTCTCTTCGATATACCTCTGACCTTCAGAGCTCTGTGCACTGACCCAGGGGAAAGGGAAAATTGTCCTTGCTGGGTACAGATACGCGACGCTTTTCAGGCAGTTGTGAATTCGGTAGTAAGTGAATGAGCTTACATAAGAAATCCCCAGTTCCTCTGGAGAGAGGCTGAATATCGATATGTCTCCTGCACGTATAAAATATATATAATAGATTAAACCGGTGATTCTCAGAGCCGCACGCAGATGAAAGGTACATTCAAAAATCTTTTTTAGAAAAATGAACAACATGAATGAACATCTTTTCCTGATGGCACATATTTTCTTTTTGAGGATGAAGAGTGTTCCATTATATTTTTATTTATTTAAAGCCAGTTTTTATGGAAATTTAACTTGTTTCCAGATTTTCACTGTTATAGTTATTGTGATGAATTGAAAACTTAATCTTAGTCCATAAAATGTATGGGACAACAAGGATATAAATAATTAAGTATAAAACATTCAAGTTTAAGGTTCAGCTAGACTGATCTCTGACATCACAAGTTTTAAATTCTCTTCTGCTCACAGTGGTGCAAGGAAGCAGTTGGGCAGCCTCGTCCTCCTGCTTGGAGACCCAGGCCCGCGAGGCCGTCTGGGAGAGCGTGCGGACAGACGCCTGCATGTTCTGACCCAGCGAGCAGCTTCTCCCTGGGCCGGGCCGGGTGTCTGCTCTGCTCCTGTCACCTTGTCCTTAGCTGCTCTCTTTTGTCAACTGTTCTTTTTCTCTTCTGTCTCTTCTATCGTTGTTTTCACATAGGTCCCCCGCCCCCCCAAGGGGAAAATGGGAATCACCAGCTCATCAGAGGCTTCTGTGTAAGAGACCCGTTCCTTACCATCACGTTGTTCCCAGAGCCCCACCTCGACTTCCTGCTCTCATTCTCCCGGTTCAAGAGGCTTAATGTTTCTGTCTTTTATTGTGTTAGAATTATGTGATAGGTATTGACATTTGCATTCTAAGTTAATGTAAGTAGTACACATGATTAAGTTCTTGAAGATCCGTGTATTTTATATTTGGTACTTAATCTTAACAATTATGTCTTTATATTGTTTAATATGTAGTTTTTTTTCTTTCTCACGTTCATTGTAATCTTCTGAGGTTGGAGATATTCTGGTTTTGTCTGTCTCCACAGTCTGATGTTTAGCTTCAGATACATAATTGATGTACAGCTGGCTGTATTGAATTGAAGGGGTAGATTCTATTTTATATGAAGTCTTGCAAGGTGACCCACCTAGTTTTAAAATTTTGATTCATTGGATTAGTCTCTCAAGGGAGCGATGGACTTCTGCCATTTCTACATCTTGTAAAAGTAGGTTTTTCTCAATCACATTTTGTATTTTGTCTACGGCCATACTGCCCTGAGCACGCCTGATCTGGTCTGACATTTTGTTTCATCAAGCAGTGACACAGGCCCATATATTCTGTCGCTTGAAATTGAACCTGTGGAATTTTGATGTTAATTATCAGGCTTAATGTATGGAATTCCTTGAGTAATTATAGTAAATAAAACATAGTTTATGCTAGCATTCTATTTTTAAAATAATTTTGATTGACTCCTAAGATGTATCATCTTTATATTTCTCATTTACCAGAACCTTCTTAAAAATATGCTGCTAAATTATGAGCTTTACCTGACATGTGTTAATATGCCGGGGCTGTCATAACAAAGTACCATAGACATGGGTCTTAAACAACAGAAATTTATTTTCTCACAATTCTGGAGGCTGCAAGGCTAAGATGAGGGTCTGGCCAGGGCTGGTTCCTTCTGAGGCCTCTCTCCTTGGCTTGTAGATGGCCACCTTCTTGTGTCTTCACGTGGTCTTCCCTCTGTGTGCACACTTGTCTGTGTCTGAATTTCCCCTTCTTACAGGGACACCAGTCAGGTTGGATTACTGCCTACAGTAAAGACCTCATTTGACTGGAATTACCTCCTTTAAAGACCTTATCTCCAAACGTGGTCGTATTCAGAGGTACTAGGGCTTAGCTTGAACACACTAATTTGCGTCAGGGTCTGGGGAAGACACAATTCAGCCCATAACACCTGGGGTTGTGAGAGCTTGTTAGGTGCATCTGCCAGCACATTTTAATGAGAAATACAGCCAGCACTTAAGTGGTGAGTCCTTTTTCAAAATCAAGATCAGTAAGTTTTAAAGAGCTTAGACACAGCTGATTTAGCCCTAAAATGTGAAACTAACACTTAGCTTCTCCCTGTTATGAAATGTCTTTTTAAAAATGATTTGATTCCGTGTTCTACTGGTAGATTGATGGAAGTTCTGCTTGTTTAAAACAAAAATAAACTAAAAGTCTTGGCATGGTAGATTGTTCAGTAGATTGTTGTTGGTAACATTCTTGGGGTGTGCTATTTTCCCTTTTCCGCCTGCCCCACTTGCTCCTTTCCGCCTCTCTCTTTCGTGATTCTAGAGGATTTAAATTTAAATCTGTATATGATTGGGGTAGAAAGATATAACTGGGGTTCAGTAGGCTGGCTAACCTGGATAGGGATGTGAAAAACAAACTAGGTTTTTATTGTAGAGGAATGCTATCTTCTTTTGTTGCAAGATGATTTTAATTGTAAATAGTAGTTCACTATTGAGATTTAAGCTTCCGGTTGTGCTATTACTGTGTGCTGAAAAGAAGACTTCGGCTCTCTCCCTTTTGCTTATGGAATTGTTAAAAATACTAAATGTTTAGCTTACGTGTTATATATATAGTACACATGGTATATATTTTATATTAACTTTCATATATTGTCTTCCTTTTCCAGCGGGTTTGGGTGTTGAGTAACGCTGTGTGTAACGCCAGGTGTTTTCCTTGCAGTGCCCTTACTGCCAGTTCCCAGCCAGCCGAGACCTGCGGTGGGACCCCAGAGATTCCCAGTGAGTAGCAGCTGCTCCTTCTGCTCTGAGAGCGATGAGCATACATTTACTAAGAAATATTAATATAGCAAATGCAAGGG